GAACCCCAAGAGATTGTATTCTCTATAGTACACGTGGATTAGGAGCAAGACGGGAATTCAGTTATTTTTTATCTTTCATTCACAGAGCTTTAGAGCTCCCACTTACTCATATGTGACAACTGTTTTATGTACTCCAACCACATCCAAAACATTTATCCTGTATCAATCATATGAATATGCTTTTTCTTCCAACTTCCTTGGAGGGTACTGTAAACATCTTTTGTCACTGATAAAAGACCCCTCTTCTTAGCTGAAGCCCTTGAGAATCTTTTAAGTCAGCATCTCTAAATATGCATTATTTTTTTGTGCTAAAGAAGTAGATTGTAGTGTAATTCCATTATTTGCCTGGGATCTTTTTTTCTTCTTAATCCAAAAGTAGTTTTTAAGAATAGTTTCATGACTAAATAACTATGGAAAGAATTGTCTCAAAGGCAGGCACTCTACAAGCCAAAAGATAAAACATATGCTTTTTCTTTATTTTAACTATAATTAATTGATTTTTTATCATGAAAAATGGGAGAAATACCTCATCCTTTCCATCGTTAATTGACTAAGCAAGCAGTATACTCACCAGCAATGATGTAAAAGCCTCCTCCTGCTTTGTACAGAATGTGGCTGGCAAAAGGAGCTGCACAGATGATGAAGAAACTAGCCATCACAATAGTAAGCACTCCCAGGAGCATAAGAACTGTCCAGAAACCTCGATAAACTGGAGAAAGGGAAGAAGCAAAAAAGAGCACAACACTTTTCAGAACTTAAACAAGTGACATATTTGGCTATCAAAGATTTTTCTTTTGCCCTTCTATTTTAATTTTCCTTATTAACAAATGAAACATTTGTTCTACTGTACATATACATTATATGTCATGTGGATTAAATTAGGGTTGAATACCAGTCCTTATCTGATGATCATGGTGAATAGGTTATAAGTTACCATGAATTAAATCCATCTGCTTAGTGTTTAGCAGTGACTTGCAAGACAGAAGCTTGGCCAAATTTATGCTCTTTGGAAAATGGTACACCAAAGCTGTAGCAATTATTATTTCGGAGAAATTGTCGGGCTGGCAGGATACGATTGCTTTACCAAAACTGTCTGGAAGAAGCAGAGAGCTGTAACATCTTGGCATTCTTAGCCCTCAACCACCAATAGCAATCTGTAAATTCTCCATAATTTACAATTGGTTAATTCTATTTACATATAGTTATATGTAATGGAAGGAACTTTAAAGCAGGAAAAACTCAAAACAATATAAACCAAGTTTCTTAAAAACAGTTAAGGATTTTCAATCAGCCTATTCCTGCTCTAAATCTCTTTGTATTTTATTAAATTTAAAATGTGATGCTTCAGAAGTCCCTGTTAGACAGTGCCAACCAGTGCTGAATTAATGGATGCAGCTGGCGATAAATGAGCCGAGAGTTTTGTGACATACTCTGGCCAAAAGAGTCTTTCTAACAATTATTTTTTTAGCTAGTTAATTGCACATCCATTTAACAAAGTCATCATTTTACAAATGCTAAAAGAGTGACATGAATTTCTCCCATGGATTTAAAAATTGGTACATTAACACAACCCATTAGTAAAATTATGAGTTGCAAAGATCTCCATCGTCAGATCTGAAAATCTTGAAGCACTGACAATTCAGTTAGTGAAAAACATTTCCACCCAAATGAGGGAAAGCATGTAAGCCAGCTGGCAAGTCAGGAGAAGTGAGTCACAAAAGAAACTGCCACTTATCATCTGACAGCACCTATTTACTGTTATTGCAAAACACAACTAAGCAACTATTATACTGGTTCATATTCTAAAAATTTCAAATTCTTAGAGATTGGCAGAACCAGCTACTCAGGAATAATTCAGGCTTGCTCTCATCTGAATCAGCTTGTGCTTCCCACAACGTGCTCGGAAAATCTATAGATTTTAACTTGACCATCTTAACTATATCAGTCTTGTAAATATATTAACTAGATCGTGTTCACCACATCACATTAGCCACACTTTTAAAATAACATCCTTTTTAATCCAGGTAAACATTCAGGGACACAATTTTCCACCACACTGATCAGCAGATTTGGGCGTGGGAAGGATGAATGCATCTGAAGGTAACTGGCAGAAGGGTTAAACCTGTGCTTTGGTTCATATCCACTATAAGTCTTCTTTCCACATAAACAAACAAAAATGGAAATTATAGGCAAGAGAGAAGGCTGTGGCTCAGCAAAGCAGTTAAGTGTGTGTTCTGTTTTAAGAACTCTGCCTCTTACAGGATATAGGCACCTGTTTGAAGTTAAACACATAGTTAAATTATTCATTTAATGCAAATGAACAGTGACTGGAGACCTAGAAAGGTAAATCTCTCAAGTCCTTCAATCCTGGGTCTCTGAAGCAATTTCATATTATTTTACTCATGGGGCTAATTTGCTAAGCTTCATCACAGTCCCCAAGTCCATGGGACATTACTTCCTCATTTAAAACCTAATACCGCTAAATCAGTCTATAACCACCCAACTCTTTCACATGAATGGCCCAAGGTACTTCAAAGTCATGCCACATAATCGGACACATTGGTCAAAATGGACCTTGAAAAAGCTTTCTTCACGATCATTATAGTCAGTCACCTAAGTTGTACAGCAGTGTTTATATTTTCTGAATGGATGAGGACACAAACTTCTCCAGCCTTACAAAATCAGCATAGTTTCCTTATCTGCTCTTCATACAGGAAACACTGAAGTCTGCTTTTAGAGAAATTTTACCAGAAAAGCTTCATTTGTTCAAATATTCCTGAAAACTGAACACAAAAGGAGTAAAAATGCAACTGATGAAAAATTGTTTAAACCTCTTTATAATCATAGAATGGTTAAGGTTGGAAGGGACCTTAAAGATCATCAGGTTCCAGCCTCCCTACTATGAGCAGGGACACCTCACACTACACCAGGCTGCACAAAGCTTCATTCAACCTGGCCTTAGACACCTCCACGGAGTGGGCATCCACAGCCCCCCTAAGCAACCTATTATAGTGTCTTACTACACTCAAGGTGAAGAATTTCTTCCTAATATCTAACCTAAATCTCCTCTCTCTCAATTTAAAACTGTTACCCCTTGTCCCATAACCACCTTCTCTGCTGAAAGGTCCCTCTCCAGCTTTCCTGTAGCCCCTTCATGTACTGGAAGGCCACTATATGGTCTCCCTGAAGCCTTCTCTTCTCCAGGCTGAACAGCCCCAACTCCTTCATCCTGTCTTCATAGCAGAGGTGCTCCAGGCCTTTGATCACCTTCGCAGCCCTTCTCTGGACCCTCTCCAACAGGTCTATATCTTTCCTGTTCTGAAGGCACCAGAACTGTACACAGAACTCCAGGTGGGGTGTCACCAGAGCAGAGCAGAGAGGCAGAATCACCTCCCTGGCCCTGCTGGCCACACTTCTGCATGGGGTTGTGGTGCAGCCCAGGACGGGGTTGGCCCTCTGGGCTGCAAGCGCACACTGGAGGCTCATGTCGAGCTTCTCATGTACGAGAAGCAGAAGAATCATTAATCATTTAATCATTTTCTTCATTGTAACTATGCAAAAGAAAAACTCTGCTCCAACAGTGTAACTGTTCTATGCATTATATGTGAAATACTGATTTGACCTAGATATCACCTGAAATTACCTTCCATTCTATTTCTCTGGAAGTAATTACTTATGTTAGAGAATAATGGATAAATTCTGATGACCCTAATACTTGTTTAGCCAGATAACTCCATCATTAAACATCAATTTCAAAATAGAGTTGATAGGTAAAAAGTCTGCAATGTTCTGAAATCAGCAACTTTTCAAAGCAAAAAATGACTCCCTCTAATCTGCAAGACAGTAAGTAATTAGAGTAATTTGTGGCACAGGTCTGAGGAAACATCCTAAGAGAATTTAGACTTTTTTCTTTAGTTAAAAAGCAGCTAGTTTTCTGCAAAGAAGGCTTCACTTATTTCACACTCAGAATATTTTTGCTCAGATCACATTTCCTGTCTTCTCTGCCTAGATGGGGAAGATCAGCTCCTGCAGGGCTAATCATTCAAAATTACAATGAAGCCCTACTGCTGTCATTTAGCTTAGCTGGCATCTTTACATGAACATAAAAGAGTTGCCTGAAATTAAAATTACCTAAGAATGAACTTACTCTTCAAGTCAAAGACTTTGATGCTGTGAGATTGAGGTGAACCATGACAGATAAAAAGCAAAAGAAGATGCTGATTTGCCTTATGCTTCTTTAAGTCCCATGAAAAGTCTGACACTGTGATCCAAGCAGCCTGTTTCAAGACATAATGGTTTTGCATACCAAGGTGCTAAGAGATGTTTGCACCATTTCCAGTCTCACTGAGGCAGCTCATAAGATAGCCCATGTTCTGGTTCAGATGACAAGGAGTACTTCACGGACACATTTGAGCTAGCTACCTCAAATACATGCATTAATCCAAGCATTTCCTACAGCAGAAGTACAAGCGCTACTGCAGAGTCCGAGGTAAACATATCTGCAGTGTTAATCTTAGATACCATTGTTCTGTGTTGCAAGAGTGATAAACAGAAGGTTCTGTAACTTGTGTTGGTAAGCTGCCCCTTCATCGGGTACAAGTTGCCTTGGCAGTGACAGGCGGGCCTAAAAATAAAACAGTACTTACAGGAAAACAGGAGTACACACAGTATGCTTGTCTTCGAGCTCTACACCGTTTGGCCTGCATACTATGGGAACATTATAGTTGCAGTATATTTCTCAAAAATTGCATGACTTGTAATCTTCCCTTGCTGCTTGCTTTTCACCCTAAAGTTCCTAATTTAGGTTCCTCTGGAGACTTTTGCATCATTTGCAAACTAGAAGAAGTATCTAGTTTTGAGTAAGGGACTGAATTTTTGAGAAATGGCTGAAAATTATCAGAACCTGCCTTTTCTAGCATGGTAGGTCCCAGCATTGATTATGAATTGAATCCACAGATTCATGTTTTAAAATGCTACTGGTGCATTATATGAAAGAGAAATAATAATATATTTGAGAAAGTTTCACAGCTGTGTCACCTGCAATGGACTCTTGCTGTTGTGTAGTAACCATGTGCACCTTGGAAGATTCATAAATGGGTTAATCAGGAACAGGTTAGCTAATGACACAATAAGCCACCCACCTACAACCAGAGACATTAACATCAACCTCATGGAACCACAGCACATACTTTTTTATCGTTGCTGGCTTCCAAGTGTTCTAAAATCTCAGCCATCAGCTCATGCATTTTCTATGCCCTATCAAAAAAACACCCAATCCAGTCAGTCAGTACTGAATTCAACATCAAACATGAATTATTGAGCACTACAAACCTGAAAAAATTGTGAAGCATATATGAGTACAAAGCTGCATAAATATTACTAAGAATAGGCAAACTTACTTGGAAAAGTTGCCTTGAATTTTCACACACAGACTCACATGCTAAAGTGATTTGATTGTGGATTGCATTTTAGACTATGTCTTTTTTGCTTCTCTATGTAATATAAGAGATAGTAAAATGCTTCTGACAAGAGGTATCAAAGTACCACCTACAATATAAAATATAATGAAAGGTGAAATGCCTGAACTGCCTTAAATCAGGATTACCTTCTTTGCAGATAAACAGCTGTAAATTAGATCATCATTAGTGCAGGAGATACACCTGGCAGCACAATAAACCTTGCAAAACTTTTCTCAGTTTCACTCAGTAC